TAAGAAGCGTTCACTCGCAAGGTCATAATCTGACGTTCACTGAGCGCGCAATCCAAATAATTTAAATAACATCTTTGCGCTCGCGCCGGACTAAGCTTACAACATGTACAGTTTTAGTTGTTAAATTCAATGTAAATATAGTTAATAAGATATTTTTGTATTATATTTGTTTAGTTTTTAAGTAGTTTTAAGTTTTAAGTTAAGTTGTAATAGTTTTAAGTTGAGTAATTTAACGAGCCGTTACAAGCACACCAAAATAGGCAACAAAAAAAAACAAACCAAAAAAAACAAGAAGGAATTTACACAAAAGAAAGCACACAACCACAAAATATTTGTGACACAACACACAGCTACTTACTACGAAAGCAAACCCATCAGTCCATAAAAAAACCAAGTTGAGGCGCCAGTGTCGCGTAGCGGGAAATTAATAAATAATGAACACTAGCGTACACAGATAAAATTACAAATTATGAGGGCGGGGTTCGGATGCCCGACTGTGGGTATGCTCTCGCGGTCCGTGACTTCCCTGGCGAGGGCGGCCGAAGGTAGATGGTGGCCGTAGGTGCTGGACGTAGTCGCTGTCAGCTGGAGGCGCCTTGAATCTCGAGCCGCAGATGGTACGCGTTTGCCTCCGCGTTAGTCCCGAAATTCGATCCCTGGGAATGAACATTCCAGCTTAAGCCACTTCCGGTCTCAACATCCGGAGACTGCAATCATCGTCAAACCAAGCCAAGAAAGTCGAGCCTAAGTAAGTAGGATAGCAGGCGAAGTGGCGATAAATGCAATCAGATCGGAGTTTACAAACACAGCATAATTAAAATGAAGTAAATAATATTATGATTTATTATTAGTTACGCCAAATGCTTTAAATTAACAATTTGTATGAATAATTACGCCAATAGCGAATAATTACTAACTGATCTCTGCTACAGGAATTTGCGACATAATTAGGTTTTCAACAAAGCTGGATAGATAGGCACTAACTAATCGCAACTTGTAGTTACATTATCTGCTTAAAACTAAAGCGAAAGAAGAAATACTTGTTCATCACTTACCCTATCGGGGATGTATTCACTACACAGTTTTATCGTACTTATTTATGAAACGACTACTAATTTTATTGTACTTTATAAGTTTGTATTTAGTGCATTTGCACTACACACTATAAATTATTTGAAATGGAATCGGCGCGGCGGCGATAGGCAGGTACGCGGCCGTACTTTTCAAGTTGGTTTGTCGAAATGAAGCCGGGGAGACGTGCCCCGGCCGTCGATTTTTAAAGGTCAAACGGCCTTAGGCACCGCCCATTAAAATCATACGATGTTTTTGACCAATGCCCAGACGCAATAAAGGATTGAAGAGAAAGCTGCTTAGGGTCCCGCGCGACCGATAAACGAACCATTAGCAAGGTCACTGTAAGTTGATTTATTTTATTTTAAGCTAGTTTTAAGTGATTTATGTAATTATTTGTTTTGTAAATGTTATTTATTTAGTGATAAGAATAAAATCTTGTTTACAGTTTTTTGTTGTTTTAGGTATTTGATAGTTTTAGTTATTTTTNCTAAGCTTACAACATGTACAGTTTTAGTTGTTTAATTCAATGTAAATATAGTTAATAAGATATATTTGTATTATATTTGTTTAGTTTTTAAGTAGTTTTAAGTTTTAAGTTAAGTTGTAATAGTTTTAAGTTGAATATTTAACGAGCCGTTACATACCCCCCTTTTTAGGTTAGGATTTTTCTTGTAAAATCCGCTTGCCTAAGGGTACTACGAAATCTAGGTCAACTTGAAGTCCTTGACATGCCAAGTTCCTAAATTGTTACCTGCCATATCCTGAAGCTCATAAACTAGTTTAGATTTTTTTCCTATAATCTTACACTTGATAAATTTGGGGGCTAACTTTTTAGAAAATCTATTATCTTTATCGCTTTGATAAAATGTTTTTCTCCAGACGATATCACCAACGTTAAAGTCAACATTCTTGCGTCGCAAGTCATAATTTGTGCTGTTCCTAGAGTGAGCTTTCACAAGTGATAGTTGAACTTTGTCAAATATTTTGTGCAAAGCTCCTAAGTTTTCCGCGTAACTATCACGAGGTGCAAATGTGATTTGATTTTCTAAGTCTGAATCAACGTAATGAGAACCACAGGATATTAACTCTCTGCCAAAAACCAAGAATGAAGGTGTATAACCAGTCACTTCATTTACAGCACTGTTGAGGGCAAATTGGATTTTAGGAATGTTTGTATCCCAGACTCTATGATCACGCTCAATAAAGGAAGAAACTGATGTCATTATGGTTTTATTATAACGTTCAACAGTATTTACTTGTGGTGTATATAAAGGTGTATAAAAAATATTAGGAATATTATAGTATTTAAATAAATTTTTCAAAATATTACTAACAAACTGTTTCCCGTTGTCCATAATAACAGTACTAGGGATACCGTGAACCAGGAAAACGTTATCCTCTATAATTTTGGCAATTATTTCGGCCGTAGCACGGCGTATGGGAAAAAGCATACAGTACTTAGAGAAGCAACAAGTAATAACGAGCAAAAATGTATTTTGCTTCCTGGACACAGGCAGTGGTCCTACCAAATCTATGCTTAGCATTTGGAATGGTCGACAGCAGTCTTTAGGTCTACCCATTACGCCAAGTGTAGGGTGGTTGGGGTGTTTGCGAGAGAGACAAACATCACAACTAGTGACAAATTTAGCAACATCCTGATGCATATTGGGCCAAAAATATTTCAAGCTAATACGTTTATGGGTTTTGAAAATTCCGAAGTGACCAGAACTAGGTTCGGAATGATTTTTCGTAATAATGTCATTTCTGAATTCTGAGGGAACCACCTCCTTCCATTCAAATTCACGTGTAAGAGGGTTTAGAGATTTCATGAAGCGAAACAGTTTACCATTTTCGACGCGATAATTTAAAAATGATGTTGGAGATTTGAGACAACCATTAAAAATTTTCAAAAACCAGGTGTCGTTAGTGTTTTGAAAGTTATTGTCGACTACATTAATAGCAGAGACAGGAACAGAACGTGATAGACTATCCGGAACTACATTTTCGGAACCTTTTCGGTGTTTGATGTCAAAATTGTAAGCAGATAGACGTACTCCCCACCTAGCTAATCGCCCAGTTGGGTTGTTAAGGTTTAAGAACCATTTGAGGGAAGAATGGTCTGTGAATACAGTAAACTTAAGACCATTTTCCAAGTAACAACGCCAATGTTCAATTGCGGTGAGTACGGCTAATGCTTCGCGTTCAGTTGCGCTATAATTGCGTTCTGGTTTCGATAGCGACTTGCTCATATACGCTATCACTTTTTCACGTCCGTCTAAAGTTTGAGACAACACCGCTCCAATACCGTAGTCACTAGCATCGGTGTGTACTTCAAAGGGTTGGTCATAGTCAGGACAAGAAAGAATAGGTGTAGAGGAGAGGCATTTTTTTAATTGTTTAAAAGCTAGGTCTGCCTCAGAAGACCATACAAAAGGAGGGGCGTTTTTGCCTTGTGAGGTCAACTTATTTAAAGGATTAGCTAAGGTACTGAAGTTTTCGATAAACCTACGGTACCAGGAGGCGGTGCCCAGGAATCGCCTAACTTCTTTTCGATTCGTTGGTGTGGGGTAGTTAACGATTGCCTCAACTTTTTCAGGATCAGCCTGCAAACCGTTTGAGTCCACCACGTAGCCCAGATACTTAAGCTGGTTCCTAAAGAATTGACACTTAGAAAAATTTATTGTTAAGTTGGCAGTTTTTAATTTATCGAGAACTCTTGATAATAAAGATAAGTGTTGTTCAAAGGTGTTAGACGCAATGATGACGTCATCAATAAAAACGAAGACTCTATGCTCAAATTCGGGACCATAAAAGAGAGTATCGACTAGCCTTTGCTGGGTGGCCGGAGCATTAGTCAGTCCGAACGCCATGGCCTTAAATTGAAACGTGCCGCGTGAGGGAATATAGAAAGCAGTTTTCTGTCTGTCCTCTTCTCTAATCAAAATTTGCCAAAAACTTTTAGAGAGGTCAATACTAGAGAGGTATCGAGCGTCGCGGAGATTATCTAAAATTTCTGCCATGTACGGTAGACTGTACGCATCTTTTTTTGTTACTGCATTGAGTTTTCTACTGTCCAGACAGAATCGCAGCTCGCCATTCTTTTTCGGCGTTAAGAGAACTGGGGACGACCATGGGCTCTCGCACGGTTCCACTACGTCTTCCTTTAACATGTCATCCAATTGCTCGACTAGTATGCGTTGCTTCTCCGGAGACATCCTATAATACCGTTGACGAATGGGGGCAGCATCCCCAGTGTCAATTGGATGAGTAATTAGAGAAGTACGCCCTAAACCACGTTTTTCGTAGGAGATGTCGTGAAACAGTGAAATGACTTGATCTGCCAGATTTTTTTGATTGCCCGATAAATGGTCGTACGAGCACAGGTTATTAGATCCAGAGTTGTTATCGGTAGTAGTAACAGTTACAATTTTATCGGTGTCTTTATAATATAGGATATGGTCAATATGTTTGGGAAATAAGCCAAATACCCTCCAGAAGTCCATTCCCAATATAAAAGAGTGTTTTATGTTTGGAACTACGTAGGCTTTAAGAGTGTGAGTTTGTCCGTAAAAACTCACTGGAAGGTAGATGATTCCTAAAGAACTCAGTTTCTCGCCACCAGCCGTAACAAACTTAGAAGTGTCAGGTTGTTGAAGTTCATGACCAGCTTTTAAGAGGGATTCATGACATCCATTTCCAAGAATTGTGGTGGAAGAACCGGTATCCAACAAGCCAATTAGTGGTTTGCCATTAATAGAAACAGATACATAGGGTCGGGATACATTCATATCAGGAACATTGTTATCCTGGATTGAAGAGACAGCGTTGTAAGTAAAAAAAGAAGAAACAAAATTTAGCCAATTTTGCCACTCAGATGCATTGAATTTTTTAGATTTGTGAGTCAGCTTATCGGTGTCATTCCTCCAATCCAGGTTGACTAGTTTTTTTGGTTTAAATTACCACTTTTCGGGTTACAGTCAGGACAATTAGGATACTTGAAATCCTTTTTACCGCACCCAAAGCAGACAATGTATCTGTCTTTACGACAAGTTTTCAGTGTATGGCCGTTTATTCTGCACCTCCGGCAAAAGCCTTGTGAAGGATTCGGAGTAATAACATTAACATTATTGATATCGTCCGGCTCAGAATTATTTTCACTTTGTATGGCAGCTACTGTTGTATTTTTATAGTTAGTGTTATTGTTAGACTTGTAATTAGAATAAGGTTTATTTTGTTGATTTTTGTAATTGTTATTTGTAAAAGTTGTACTATGTTTGTAAGCGAATTCAGGAGCGAGCGTATTGCTAGATGCTCGAGGAGGCTCCTGAAAGGATGAGAATCTAGATTGTATATTTTCAAAATTTCGACATATTGATACCAGGTCGTCTATACTTTTAATTTCGGGAGAAGCAGCCAATGTATTCGCGTAACAGGGGCGAATATTATGAAGAATAACTTCTAATTTTTCTTCATCAGAAAAGGGTTTGGAAAGGCGAGAAAACAAGCCATGCATTATGGAAGTGTAAATTATAATATTTTCTTTTTCGCCTTGTGTGCGCGACCTAATTTCAGCAGCGAGGCGATAATCATAGTCACTGCTACTGAAGTCCTTTTTGAGAATGGTACACAACTCTTGCCATGTGCCTACGCGATCTTTGTTATATCGGTACCAGTGAAGTGCATCATCTGTGAATATCTCGTAAGCTAATGACAGAATTTTTTCGAAAGAAATACCTCGCGATTGTACAAACTCTTCAGTTTTTTGGATAAAGGAGTGTACACAAGTTTTTCCCGAAAATTTTAGTTTCGCTATGTCTGAAGTCAGACTGCGCTCACAAGATACCGAAATAGCAGGTGAATCGACATTAGAAGTAGCAGATGTGGAAGGAGCGTTAGAGATCGATAATTGGCTTTTTAAGACGGTGAGATCTTTGTATTGCGAGTTAAAATTAGATGTGCACACCTTGTAAACGTCAGCGACTTCAGGAGTGTTGGTAATCCTATTGATGCGATGATATAGGTGGTTAAGTAGTGTCTCTGTTCGAAGAAATAGATTTTTATCAAATTTAGTTTTTAAAGTAATAATGTTATTTTGAGACTTTAGCAGAGACTCTTTTACAAATTTGAGATCCTCGTTTGGTTCTAAGTGTGATTCTAGTATGTCTTCAGGTTCAATGTGAGTTAATTTGGAAATTTGTTTACGTAGATCCGATACGGAATCACCGGATCCGCCTCGTAGTTCAACCTCATATTCGAGTTCTGCCTTTTGTAGCGAAAAGAATTTAATTGGGTATGACATTTTTACTCGGGTGTGTGTTGCAAAATTTAGAAAACTAAGCTACAACAATGATCATAAAAGCGAAATCAATGCGTGGTAATATTATAATTATGTTGTGCTATGTTAGCACTTACANTGTATGGGAAAAAGCATACAGTACTTAGAGAAGCAACAAGTAATAACGAGCAAAAATGTATTTTGCTTCCTGGACACAGGCAGTGGTCCTACCAAATCTATGCTTAGCATTTGGAATGGTCGACAGCAGTCTTTAGGTCTACCCATTACGCCAAGTGTAGGGTGGTTGGGATGTTTGCGAGAGAGACAAACATCACAACTAGTGACAAAAGACAATGCCGGAAATTGGCGTCTTTTTTTTTTCGCGCGGCCATCGACCAAACCTTGTTTTTTGATTACAAAATAGTGTAATAAACCAAACTTACTATGGCATGTATACCTCTAAACTCAGTCTGAACTGAGTTACGAGCATCAGAAGTTTGATGATTTTCATACTAGATTTGCTGTTTAGCGCGCAAGTTTTGTAAGAAATTGCAACAAAATAATGACACTGTATGTGTAAACAAACAATACCATCCTTATAAGGCTCCAGACATCAGTATGCAGCAGAATCAGCGCAATAAAAAAATAGCGCAATATTTTGTTGCAATTTCTTACAAAACTTGCGCGCAAAAAGCAAATAAAAATGAAGCAAAAAGTATGAAAATCATTAAACTTCTAATGCTCGTAACTTAGTTCAGACTGAGATTAGAGGTATACATGCCATAGTAAGTTTGGTTTATTACACTATTTTGTAATCAAAAAACAAAGTTTGGTCGATGGCCGCGCGAAAAAAAAAAGACGCCACCTTCCATACAAAATCTGGCATTGCCATTTGNCAATATCCCCCTCCTTAGAAAAGATTTAACCTAAGTTAAATCGAAACTATCGTAATAGCGTTGCTAAGCTTCATACATTTTCAGTTTGAGATCTTTAATATGCCAGGCCCCAATATCACGTCCATCTTTATCTTCTAATATGTAAACAAGAGGGGAACGTTTACCTATAATACGGCACTTCTCAAATTTGGGAGCTAGTTTCTTCGCAAAGTGAGCAGCTTTATCGCTTTGGAAAAAACACCTCTTCCAAACGGTATCACCCACTGAGAATTCAGCATCTTTTCTGCGTAGGTTATAACGTTGAGTCGTTTTTTGGTGGCTACGCCATAAAGCAGTTTGAACTTGGTCAAAAACCGTTGCCAAATGTCCCAAATTCTCCGCGTAAGCGTCTCGTGGTAGAAACAAAATTTCGTTTGAAACATCATTTTCTATGTAATGTGAACCGCAAGTGACCAATTCACGACCATGCACTAGAAATGAAGGTGTATGGCCAGTCACTTCGTTTACGGAGTTATTTATAGCGAACTGTATCTTAGGCAAAAATATATCCCATGCCCTGTGGTCATTGTTAATAAGTGTGGATACAGCTGTTATTATAGTTTTATTATATCTTTCCACTGTATTGACCTGTGGTGTGTATTTTGGTGTAAAGTGAACGTTTGGAATTTTATATTTACTTAGTAGAGTGTCTAACTGCTTACTTATAAATTGAGAGCCATTATCCATAATGATGGTTTGAGGAATGCCATGAACCAGGAATACATTGTCTTCTAGAATTTTACAGACAGCCGTAGAAGTAGCCTGTCTAAGAGGAAACAATAAGCAATATTTAGAAAAACAGCAGGTTATCACAAACAAGTAACAGTTTTGTTTTCTACTAACGGGTAAGGGTCCGACCAGATCAATAGAGAGTGTCTGGAATGGACGTGAACACTCTTTTGGTCTTCCCATTTTACCTAGAGTACCATGAGTAGGTTGTTTATAGGCGAGGCAGACTTGACAGTTAGTAACCGCCTTAACGACATCGCTATACATACCAGGCCAATAATATTTTAATAGAAGGCGGCGATACGTTTTAAAAACACCTAAGTGAGCTGCTGTTTCATTAGCATGATTATCTAATATAGTTCTATCGCGATATTCATTTGGAACAACCTCTTTCCAGCTAAATTCAGAAAGAAGGGTGTTGTTACATTTCATGTACCGATATAGAACATTTCCTTCTAACCTGAAATTTGGAAATTTAGATGGTGTCGTTAAGCATCCGTTAAAAATATTTAAATACCAGTTGTCTGTAGTGTGTGGAGGTGAGGGTGTGGAAGAGCTGATAGTGTCATCACTTGAGCTGGAAGATGATGTTGTAGTAACTGCAGCGACAGCACATCGAGACAAAGCATCCGGGATAATATTGTCCTTGCCTCGACGATGTTTTATCTCGAAATTGAATGAGGATAATCGAACACCCCACCTCGCAAGGCGACCAGTAGGGTTTGAAAGAGATAGAAACCATTTTAGGGCCGAATGGTCTGTGTAGACTGAGAATGGTTTACCGTTTTCGACATAGCAGCGCCAGTGTTCTAATGCAGTCAGAACAGCGAGAGCTTCTCTTTCTGTCGCACTATANTCCCACCACCACCCATGGTTCTTCCTGCCTCACGGCGTACGAACCGAATCTCGGGAGAGCGCGCAGGTACTTGCTCAGGGCTCTTTCCCCGGGCGCTTTGCTTGACTCCCTACAAATTTCTCTTATCCTTGTCCCTTCTCATTGTCAATTCTCCCCCTTCTGGGGCTTGACAATGCAAGTCGCAAGGCGACCAGTAGGGTTTGAAAGAGATAGAAACCATTTTAGGGCCGAATGGTCTGTATAGACTGAGAATGGTTTACCGTTTTCGACATAGCAGCGCCAGTGTTCTAATGCAGTCAGAACAGCGAGAGCTTCTCTTTCTGTCGCACTATAATTACGTTCGGCACCTGAGAGAGACCGGCTAATGTAGGCAACCGGATGCTCGATGCCGTCGATAGTCTGTGACAACATTGCTCCAACCCCGAAATTGCTAGCATCTGTATGGACGTCGAATGGCATTTCATAGTTAGGACAAGCCAAAATTGGAGCTTCTACTAAAAGTGACTTCAGATGCTGAAATGCCCTATCCGCTTCCGGAGTCCATTTAAAGGCTGGAGAATTTTTTTTAGTGGAAGTTAGTTTATTTAGGGGTCCAGCAATAGTGCTGAATTGGGGAATGAAACGTCTGTACCACGAAGCTGTACCCAGAAAACGCTTAACTTCCTTTTTATTTGTAGGAGTAGGAAAATTTAAAATAGCGTCCACCTTTTCAGGGTCAGTACGGAGACCTTTTTCATCCACTACGTACCCGAGATAGCGCAACCGACTGCAAAAGAACTGACATTTGCTTAGATTAATCGTCAGATTTGCGTCACTTAGTTTAGTCAGCACACGATTTAGGAGTGATACGTGCTCCTCGAATGTTTTGCTGATAATGATGACGTCATCAAGGAAACAAAACACCTTTAATTCAAAGTCATTTCCGAAGAGTAGATCTACAAGACGCTGTTGCGTTGCTGGAGCATTGGACAAACCGAACGCAGTGACTTTGAACATTAATGTGCCGCGACCTGGAACATAGAAAGCGGTCTTCTCGCGATCCGGGGGGTGGATTGGAATTTGCCAAAAAGCTTTAGATAGGTCTAGCTTTGACATATATTTAGCTTCTCTTAGATTGTCCAAAATTTCAGAAACATAGGGTAAGTTATAGGCGTCTTTCTTAGTTATAGAATTTAGTTTACGGCTATCTAGGCAGAAACGTGGCTTTCCATCTTTTTTATCCACCACCAGTACAGGAGAAGACCATGGACTTTCGCTGGGTTCTATTACGTCCATAGCAAGCATTTCGTCAACCTGTTCCGCGATTATTTTTTGTTTGACCGGTGACATACGGTAATATCTTTGCTTAATAGGACTGGCGTCGCCAGTATCAATTTTGTGGGTGATTAAGTGTGTCCTGCCTAGACCTTTATGTTCAAAAGATATATCCGTGAATTGCTTGATGGTTTTATCAGCTATTTTTCTCTGCTGCTCAGTGAGATTTTCATAAGAATGGATACCATTATTTAAAGATATTTCCATGACTTTAGGATCGTCTTGAAAAAGAAAAGAAATTTTAGGTAAATTATTGGGCAGAATATTAAATGAAGACCAAAAATCAATTCCGAGAACTAATGGAATATCCACTTCCGGTATAATGTGAGCCGTAATAGTAGCAGACTTTTTATTAAAAACTATAGGTAAATGCATGATTCCCAGCGATTTCATTCTCTGACCACCAGCAGCTGTAACTTCAATAATTTGAGTATCAGCTATTTTAAAACCACATTTAGTCAACATAACATGAGAGTTTTTGCCTAAAATACTGACCACAGATCCAGAGTCCAACAGACCATACATTGACAGGGACTCATTGTTAGCAATATTAATTTTGACGTAGGGACGTGGATCATTAATTGGTTTAGGATGTAGGATTGTAGCTACCTTGTACGTTTGGGAAAAGGTTTTAACAAATGACAACCAATTGTCCCAATCTTGTAGGCAAAACTTTTTACTACAATCCATCTTTATTAGTTTTTTGGATTTTTATGGTAAGGGTAGTTTGCTGGCTTAACGCAATCGGGACACGTAGGATAAGTAACATCTTTTTTTCCGCATTTGAAGCAAATAAGAAATTTTGGTGCTGTACAGTTCTTCAGAGAGTGGGTGTGTGTGCGACAACGAGGGCAGAAAGGCAATTTTACATTACTGTTATTTGCAATGGAGTTCACCGGTACAGTATCTAATGCATTAGTGTAGTTAGGAGTGTTATTCGTTTTATTATAGTCATTATATTTGTTGTAGTTATTGGGTTTGTACATAGTATTGTTATATGTTTTAGTTTGTGATGTGCTAGGTTTATTGTAGGCAAATTCAGGAGCGAGTGTTTCCGATGTTACCTTTGGTGGTTCGCGAAACTGTAACAACCTAGATTGGTAATTTTCAAAATTACGGCATAGAGTTCGTAGTGCTTCAATATTTTTTATTTCTGGGGAGGTAGCTAAAATGCTAGCATAACAAGGTCTAATATTGTGTAATAAAATTTCTAGCTTTTCATCCTCACTTGGTGCGCGAGATAAACGTGAAAACATACAGTGCATAATAGATAAGTAGACAGTAATGTTTTCACTT